TTCAGAGGCCTTCAGATTTGTTGTTATTGCATTGAGTCTGTTCTATATGGTTAGATTCAACTGTTTTTAAACTGAACTATAAGGACAAGGAAATATATGAAATGGAACAGTGAATTTACTGCTGGCCAGACTCAGTTAATGGCCAAACCACACAGAAATATGCTTATTGAAAATAAGGCACTCCATGGTTTCAGTGAGAAATGAGTCATACCATTATAAAACGGCAGCTAATGATAAGTAGACGGAACTCTTTTCCCTCGCTTTTTCTCTTAGCCGACCAAAGCCTTAACATTTAAAACTACTGAGGTGGCTTCTGGTTTATGAGAAATGTGGGATCACTAAATATCCAGATCAGAAATGTATTAATTTCTGAGTGATTTAATTTAGATTGTTTGAAGTTATACAGATGAAAAGAAATAAAATGGCTCTGTTTAATAAGCTTTTATTCAAGACTTGATCATTTAAAGTAATTTAAAAGGTAACTTATTGGCATAACATATCCATAAATAGTATATTTACATTAAAAGTATTTTTCTTTTAATTATATAATGGCTAAAATATATGATTTGGCTAAAATATATGATTTGGACTATGAGATATACAGATAAACTGTTTTCAGTGGTACAATAGTCAAGGTGATATTAAGGCAATCAAAGTTTAGGAAGGGAACTTCACCTTTATATTACTAAAGCTAATTTGACTGTACAAATAAATACTTCCCCAGAATCCTGAATTCCTTTGTTTTATATATTTTGTAATATGAGGACAAATTATTTCAGTTAATTAAAACAAGATTTTCTCACCTTTTCTCCCTTAATTATACTGTACAGTGGTAGAATTCCTGCAACTATAATTACTGATGATATTGCCCTCTGAGTTTCATTATAAACCTTATTAAGAAGGATCTCTGAAACTGGTGTAATATAACACTTTTGATGACTTACACATAGACCAAGCAGGGATCGGCAGGGAAATGTCTCACATCTCTCCTACAAAGTGTGAGATTACTTCTAAAGTAGCTCTGTTTTCCCTGAGAACAGAACCCAGATGTTCTGGCGGATCAAGTCCTGTACATTATGGATGTCATATGTTAATATATGTAAGATGATGCCGATTAAATTCATATTTTATTAAACAGTAATATGTTTGTGTCATAAATAAACCAGAAGGTGTTTCACAGTGCTGATATTACACATTATATATGTTACTTTTGGAAATTGCTAATTTATTTCCTTAGGTTTCCCCAGTGTTCACAATTTAATATAAACAGCAAATGAATGAGGCATGACATTTTTAATGCCATTAAATGCTCTTCCAGTCTGTTAATAATAATGTAATATAAAATAATTATATTTATTTGTTAACAATATCACAATTTAATATCAGCACAATGTAATAAGACATCAGTCTTAAAATGATTCAGGAAGACGCATGAATACACACACACTGATCCATAGATCCCCAGCTGAGCCTGTGAGTTAAATTGGCCTGCAGGTCTATCTGTAACCCCCGAGAAACTTGGTCGTCACATCATGTCGCATCAATCTAGTGTCAGAACACCAAATGTCTCTTAAATCCATTAGGGAACCAACACAGAAAGAATGACTGAAAGCAGTAAATACCAGATAGAAGATGGAAGCATCCCTCAGACATGTCTGACACACAACAAGCAATCCATGTGTCTCGTAGTGCTTCTGTTATAGCTGGCTAATTCTCAGGAGCAGTGAGGCAGAGTGCTTGACAACATCATCTACTGTGACAGGCAGATTGTGTTTTCACGTGAGCGTGATCGACAACAGATTGCACTGAGCCCGGGCTGTTCCTGTTTGCCCTGGAAATGTGTTAGTGTTTATCTGTTGCTTGAGAGGCATTCCTTTCTTTCTCCTTCCGTAACAAAAAAAAACACATTTTCAGGCAAGCTTTTTTACATGTGTGTGTATGCGTATGACACACGCTGTGAAGTGACTGCCAGCAGAGGCTTAAGAAACAATCCAAGCAAGATCAATATCAGCAAACCGCACTTATGTGTTTGACTTAACATGCAGTCGCAGTTTCCCCTCTTCCCTTTTTATACACAGCTGATGCCAAACCTCACAAAATTGCATTTACCCAAACGCCTAAAGTGTGTGTATACACAATGTGACATATTTGAAATTACGACATTGTTTTGGCAAACTGTTGATTTTACTACATCAGGCTTTGATGAGACTCACACTTGAACACAAACACACACACACACACACACACACACACACACACACACACACACACACACACACACACACACACACACACACACACACACACACACACACACACACACACACACACAAACCAGTACACAAGTTTGGGTCTGCATGTTCTAAGAGTAGTAGTGAGTGACTAATGATGAGTTGAACATGGAAAGTTTCAGACATAAATAAACTAATAATCTAGTCAGTTTTAATTAAACAGAAAATAATTTAGATTCACAAACACAAAAGCAGCAAATATTTCACCTACAATATTTAACTTACAATTATAACTCTACAGATATTTAAGTTACAATGCACTATGCTTGCACACACTTATTGGTTACCTCACTCTAAATGTATTAAGTGTAAAAGGCATAATGTGACGTACTCTGAACAACATTATAAAATGTTACAATGATCTGGCTATAATGCTTTGAGTTTTTTTCTATCATATTCAAATGTAGCCGAAGACCCCCACTTGGTAGTCTCAAGAGAAAAATATACATAAGGTCTTCCCTACTTTGCATTAAATGTGTGAGAATAAAATGAAGCTGTAAGCGTGCCTTCACCATAAGTTTATCCCTGTAGACAAGTCAGACAGCCATTTATGAATATGCATGAACCAAGTGTTTGCCTCGTTTAATGATTTTTTTTTTAACATTCATATATATTCAGTCTATTTCCCCCCCATTTATTTCACTGTTCTTCATATGGGCGTTAAACACACACACATACATACACACACATAGATGTTAACAAGGATCCTGCTCACTATGTGCAAGGTGCATGCAAACAATTACCATTTCACTGGCAGGTTCTCTCTCCCCTCCTCACACTTCCCTATGTTACTTCTCCTCACAGGTGCCAACCTAAGACAACCTCAAGCATTGTGAACACTGAAAGGACCTATCTAATGAACCGCTGACAGACAGCAAAGAAAGCTTCAGGACTGAGGGCTCGTGAGACGGCAAAAGAAGGAACATTGAACGTGGTATGTACAATTATCCAGGCACTCATAGGTGACATATTTAATGCAATTGTCGCATGTGTGCAACTGAGGATTTGTCTATTGTAGTTGTCAAATCTGTATGTTTCACACGAGGCAATATGTGATGCCATTGATATCTGCCATGTTGCATTCATAAACCTACTGTGTCTAACATACTACACCTTATTGATTATTATGGAGGTCTGGGGGCCAGAGGAAATGCTATTAAAGATTAAAGGGTCAGGTGATGTGAAGGTGGTATTCCAGGTCATCAGACACCAACGGGTTCAGTTACAGGCTGTAATGTCCGGCCGTCAACAAAATTAGCTTGATTTATTTATTAACTGATTTCATGTCCTGCCATTTCCTACCCTGACTGACAGGGCTGCATACATGGCTTATGCTTCACAGGTGAACTTCAAAGGAAGGGAAAGATTAGGATGCTGCTTGGTGTCCACTTACACTTCACGCAGTCTAGTGAGAGGCATGTTCTGCAAAGCTATAAGCTTATAAGGGTAATATTTGTTGTTTGTCTGCATTTGGATACAAGTTCAGAAGTTGGGTTAACATTTACATTTTCTCTAGTAAGATAGGATGATCAAATATGTATACAGTTATAGTGAGGATATCATTAAAAGTCCAAACAAATATAGACATTTTTTTCAAGATCTTGAATGTTTTTAGTGTGGAAATGGTCAAAAATCCTAACTCTATTTTAAACTTTGACCATCCAAAAAACCCTTCAAAGCTCTATGTCAATCAAAACCCAGTTGATTCTGTTTCTGAGGATGGGTTGATAAAAAAACTAAAGTGAGATCTGATTATGTATTTCAGTATAACAGGCTCCATCCAATACAACCTTTCTTTAAACTGATACTACACCCATATAATGCGAGTATAAAAGAAGCACAGTATTACAAGGCGTATCTGGGAAACATCTCTGTACAGACTGCCTGTCTGTGTCTTATCTGAAGTGGCAAACTTGCTGTTCTAATTGTTATCTTCACACTAATAGAGTGGATGTTTTGAAATCATTTGGTTGGATGGATAAAGGCTTGGTAATTCCCCCATGCTTACTGTCTGTGTCAGTGCTTATCTGGAGGAGATAGCTGGGTCCTGGAGAATGATTGGCGGCTCGCAGGAGGGGGAAAGTTTGTAAGTGACTGAGAAAGAAGGCAGCATTTATGTTCCTCAGGCGTGGAAGAAATCAGTTTAGAACTAAATGGTGGGATTATGTATGGTTTATTGGACAAAATAAATTAGTTGAATCTACTTTTATCAATATATTTAAAACAGGTTTTTACCTTCAAATAAGCTTGGAGTGGATAATTCATTTTGCAAACTGTTTCATGTTCTTTCTACCAGTTTCTTGATTAAAGACACTTGCCTTTTCTGGGTTGTTCTTGTGTGGCATGCTTGAAACAAAAGGCCACAGCAAAAACTTGAACTTTACCGGCTGGATTTAGCTTTCGAAGTCTGCTTAAGATGCTTAACGTGCCCTCCGTTTGATCATTAGTTTAAGCATTCCTCATGATCTTCCTCTAGTGGTCCTCTGAGCGCTTAATTGTGCGTCCACCCTATCGGGGCTGGCGCGATAATAAAGCAATAAGAGCAGAGGCTCGTTCATTAAAGTAGAGTTGGGAACATGTGAGCCCGCCCCCTTTCAGGAGTCAAAAAAAGAGGAAAGAAATCGATTATTTCTCTTCGCGCTGGGAGAGGAAAGGGTTTGGGGGAAAGACTCGGCCAGGGTTTCTCGAAGGAACAGAACCAGCCATCACCATAAGGCTCCAGACGTCCAGCAGTACTCCACCTCCACCTCCACGGCTCCACCACCGCTCCACCAGATCCATCTCCGCTCACCGGCACCTCGCGGAGAGAGAGCAGCCCTCAGCGCCTCCTGAGCAGACACTGCCCGATCAGAGAGAGAGGGAGAGAGAGAGAGAGAGAGAGAGAGAGAGAGAGAGAGAGCAGTTGTCTTTGACATTATAGAGACTCCTACCACGTACTGTAGGTTACTTTTTTTTTCCTCCCGGCGACGTCCTCAGCTAAGTTGCGCTCCTGGATTTTAAGTGCGTCTTGGCGAAAGTCCGTCACCACCGAGCAGCAGCTTCAGCCTTCCTGTCAACCGGCCGGACCCAACAAGCGGCGGACCGCTTGAATCTTTCACTTCACCCGGACAAGATTTCACGCGAAATAAAGTAAGTACCGCGCTCACACTCACTCGCAAACATGAAGGAGACACGTTGCGTCATATGATCTGTATTTTTAATCTTCCCGAGCGAAACTTGAGGGTCTATTTTGATGCGCGCTTCCTCAACAACAAAGTACAGTAACTGCGTTTATTGATTTGTTGTGACCCTGATCGACTTATGCCGGTGACAACTCTGTCATATAACTACAGGCTGACATCAAATAGCTGTTTATGATCTATTAGGAGAATTAAGGACTGTCTCGTGTTTTAGGTAGTGGTACTGTTTTGTCGACCTTGTGTAGCTTTCGCATGTCCACATGCAGGCGCAGAGCCACAGCTACTGAATACGCTGCCCTCCTTAATGTAGGATAAAACTATGTTAAACCCTACTGCGCTTTTGGTGGCATATTAAAAGTTACATTTTCACTTTAAAATGTAGTGTTTAATCAACCTGATGTTTTCAATTTGACAAAATAATATAATAAATAAAAAATAATCTTTAAAAAAAAGATAATTACTTGCAGTTCAAATGTTTTTAATTGTCAGATAATTAGATTAATTAAAGCAACAGCATGCAGTGTAACTCACTGTACTTATAATGGCCTTACTTTGTGAATATGCAAAAAAAAAAATCATCAGTGGTTTAAACTACCAATCTGAGTATCCTATTATTATGCATGGAAATCAGGATAACTTGCATAGCAAACTTTCATACAAACATTAAAAAATGACTGAATGATGCAAATATGAATCATTTTCAAAGTACAAAACAGGAGAACACAGTTTTCCAGACTTATTTTAACGTTAGTTCACGCAGACAAGAGACACAGTAAACACTAAATTAGTGTTTTATAAAAGGTTTGACACGTTCAGACTTAATTATAATTTCTTCTCTTTGAATTTCTGACTGACATTGTTTCAACTTGTTTTAATAAAGCGAGAATTGCATATTTGTACAGTTAAGTTATGTCTTGTGTGGCTCAATTGAACCTGTTGCAGTTAGAGCATTAATAATGACACCATAATTAACCTGTGGCAACTTTCACAGGTTGCAGCTTAAGATATCTAATTGGATTTATTTGTTTTATTCTTTAAGTATTTATATAAGGCCCACTGATCAAATGTTCACACATTTCTCCATCACACTTTATTATATTTTAGAATATGGTTGAACTGACTAGGCTGTGTGTATTTAACTTACGTTCATTAATGCAAACATAAAAGTCATTATCTTTACCCATATGCTTCTGATTTTGTTATAAAGTTAAAGAGCAATTGTTTGTAACTGAAACAATACAATCTATTTTAACAGTTAAAGATGCTATGAATGTTGAGATAGTGGCATTTTTTATCTAAATAAATAAAAGTTTCACTGCACATTTTGGGATTTAAAAAAATTGTTACATTTGAAATAGTCTGTTATTGAGATATTTTTTATGCAAAGCATATTTTTAAAGTGATAAAGTGTTGCTGCCTACTACAGTTTATCAACCTAATTTGTGGCTTTGTAAAAAGCGTACTGCATTCTCTCAGTCACTTAATGCGTTATTGCGTTTCACAGTTAGTATTTAAAAATAAATATGCAGCCTACATGACTTATGCAACCTTTGAGGTGCATTTTATTTTAATAAGATATAGTCTCCTGTGTATTGTCCCATCACTTTTTTTTTAATCATCTTTATTACTGTTTTATATGAGTTTTTTACTCTTGAAAAATATGTAAAACTGTATATAGATTTTACACATGGCCTTCCCTCTTCTGCCCATCGTCAATGAAGTTGTTCTGTGTGGCCTGTCTGGCCTGTTGCTCTCTTGGGATTTAGCGTTAGGTTAATCCGCTCAGAGGAAGGTGAGCGCTCGCATGTGGACCCACGATTATACACAGAGGACTCTGTCAGCCAAGCTCTGTAATCTCAGAGACCCTGTACAAACACACACACACGCACGCACGCACGCACGTATGCAGTAGCACAGAAACTCACACAAATGCCTAAGCCAAAGCATGGTCTTCCTCCTTTCTCTGTCTTTTTATTACACACACACATGCACTCACCGACACCCACACAATCTGGCCTGCGCAGCTTTTGTTTCTCTTATTCTCTTGATACCTCTCCCTCTTCACAACTCATTTGAGATTTTGGGTGCTGATTCACAAAACCAACATTGACAACAAACTCTTACCCCTTCACACAGAGAGGGATTAGAAGGTCACGTGTCCCTGTGATTGGCCAGGGCATTGAGCCGATTGTCAGGGCACTTTGCTGTACACCAGGGGCTCAGTAGAGCTTTAGTTAAGTGAAGGGAAGGAACAAATTGTGTGCCATGCTCAGGGTTTGGACATGTGTTTTAAACATTGCCAAACTAAATCTGCATCGGGTGGACTGTTGTTTATATCTTAAATCATATATATCTAATAACTAATAACATTAATGAGTAATGTAAAATCTGTGCTTTCAAGCCTGCCTCGTTTTTTTAAGGAAGTAAAGTATACCACTGTGCTGCCTGACAGCATTGGCATTTAATACTGTACAGAAGGCACTTTTCAAGATAACCTCCTTCAATGAAAACATTATTCTTAATGGAAACATCAGAAGCATTTATGTTTAAGCAAACAATTTAACTTTTGCTATGCTGTTGCTTTAACGTTTTTTTTTCACTAATGATTTCAAATATTTTGGAAGGGGTTAGCAGAGTTTGCTCAGTTCAACATCAGTAAAACACTCATTTGCAGATTGCAGGTTGGCAAGATCTGCTGGTAGATATAAAAGTACTGTAATTGGACTTCATGCCCTTTGGCTCAAATGCGAAAGGTAATATAAGAGTCAATTGTAGGGAATCATATTTACCCCATATATAAGGAGCATATAATAACTTAAACTGTCAAGAGACACCCCTGTAAATAATGCAGTATACTTTGCTTTACGTTCTTTCAAATAAATGTACCATGAAGCACCAACTACCCAGATTTCATAGAAAAAAAGACAACCTCTGTTTTTAGTGAATGTATCTCACACAAATAGTGTAGAATGTTAAGCCATTTCATAAGAATCACTTTTTTACTGCCTGTTTATAAGCAGATGAAAATACTTTATTTTTACAATACCTCAAGGGCATGTTGTATTCTTACATACTGCTCATGCAGGTGTTAGCTTTTGCTGCATGAAGGAAAAAGTATCTTTTTGGTTTCCATACATTTTAATAGTAGTAATGAAAAGTGTAGGGCTCAAACTCACCATGTGTTAATTGACTTATTTTAAAGAGATCTCCTAAACTGTTGTGTATGTTTACGAAAATGTTTATTTGCCTTAAGAGAACTGTCTGTATAGCTTCATAAGAGCTGCAATTACTCATAGAACTTAGAAAAAAATAATTTAAAGTAAATAACAAAGTCCTTGAATGGTTTATGGTGGAGTGAATGCATATATTTGAATATGTCCTGGTTTTTGCATAATGATGCAAAGTCTTCTTCTGTCTCTATCTAGTAATTAGCGGTGACGTTCAGCAACTTTCTCTGTACGCTGTAAGTGGATGGGGGTGTATGGGGTTTGTTCACTGGGGTGTTAAAGATCACAGAGGAATATATCAGCCTTTGATGTTTAATTGTATTGTAAAACACACTTTAGAATATTTCTGCATAAAGTAGAGTTCTGACTGTGCTGTGCTTTGTGTTTGCTGTTTCTTTGTGTGTTTGTCTGTCAGTATGTGCTGTGTGTCTGGGAGGTGTGTGTGCGCGCGTGCATTCAAGTTTGTGTGTCGTCTCTGTCTGTTTGCGCATCAAAATGTTTGTGCTTTTGTGTTTTTTTGTCTGAGTTTTGTGGGGTTGTTGCTGGTGTTTATTCAAATGGAAATGTGTGTATTTCTTTTCTTCCTTTATTCTCACACTGAAGAGGGTAGGATTTGATGTTTTGGATGATGGAGCAGTCTGGAAAACAGTGTCAGTGTGAGGGCTGAAAAGGCAAACTGAGAAGACGGATGCGAGAGAGACAGAGAAAGACACCCACAGAGAGAAAACGCAGTTAGAAATGTGTTTGGGCTTAGGCGATTCAAGAGCAGAATGACAATATATTTGGCCTCCACTCAGGTATTCTTCATTAAAAAGTGATGCCGTCGTGATGTCATTTTTAACAAAGCGATCTAGATGAACAGGATGTCCTGCCTTCTTCTTCCTGTTTCCTGTTTCCTGCCCGGCCTGTTGGCCATTATGGCTGCAGCTGCCTGCTGGGTGGTCTTTGCTCAGTAGTGCTGACCACACAATCATATCGTCAGCTGCAGCCCACCTAAAGAGACACCCAAAACACCTCACCATACTTGAGGCCTGCTCCCTGAAATATTTGGACAAGGAGAAAGTCCTGGGAGGCAAGAAGGCAGAAGTTATAAAGACAGCACAGGACTGAATGATAAGACAAAGAGAAACATTTAGAGTAGGACTGAGGTTGGATTTCTTTGTCTAAACAGTGGATATCAGAATGAATGCCTCAGCATCTAAGCATGAAGCTTAACATAAGAGTTAAATTAACATGTTTATAAATGAGTTCATTAACTTCCCCAGCAGACACTTACTTTAGCTGCCTTCCTCTGAGAATTTTCATCTTTATTCAGTGGCAGTGTAACTGACAGAATCCTAGCAGCCTAGTCTGTAATGCCCCTTACAGTGTATAT